ACAGCAAATGGAAAGTTATTCCATCTCTCAACATTGATGCCAACATGAAGACTAATCAAAATATATTTATTCAGCCCTATAGAGAAAATGAAAGAAGTGAATCCTTAAAGGAATAATGATGATTCTAGGATCCTTGGAGACTAAACTGAATTTGATTTTCTGTTGCATGTACAAATGTTTTCAAGACACATGTAAACAGTATTTGTTTATTTCACTTGTTACGTACTTATTTATCTCACTTGTTACTACCATTTTCTTCTCCATTTAGTATACTGACAATCAAACTTGTCTTTGTCCGTCTAGGGAACCAGTTGCACTACAGTTGCTGACATCTCTGTTGCTATTATAATGAACTCTTGGCATTCCTCCCCGAAGTGTTATAGTCTGTGCAGTATACTGTCTTGCACTGTACTGATTGTCACCTTGGTTCAGTTGGCATCACTATTATCTGAGGGGCAAAGCCAATGCTGGCCTTGAGGAATTTATCTATGCCAACACCTCACTGTGTAGTAATATCCCTTATGGATAATTAATTTTTGGAAAAGGACAGACTCAACTGTGATGTTTCCAGTTCTAAGTGGGTGCTCCATTGTCTGAGCTGCAGCCATTTACATGAGATTGAGGCATAATCTGCTTTTCTAGGTGGGTATAAAAGATCCCATAAAACATCTGAGAAAGCAACACTTATAATCAATTCAAACAAATTAATTTGTATCTCATCTTATTTGTTGTCTGTCAGATCCTGCTGGCTGCTGTCTTTGCTGTAAAATTGGCTGAACTACACTTTGTTAAAGACAAAATCTTTTGGATGTTCATAAGGATATGAAGGGTGATGACAAAATGTGTTATTTCCATTTTCTAATCTTTACATGTTTAAAGATGCTTTTGATGTTGATGCAAAGTTTCGAAGTAAAGTTTTGGACTATGCACAAGACAGAACAGGACAATCTTAGATCTGTGTCAAATAAGCTAATCTTAACCAGGGAAGTGATTAGGTCACTACAGTTGACTTCAATGTCTCTGAGATGGGGAAAGAAGAATCAGCAGGTTGTCCTCGTCCTGACAACTGCACTGTGGTTCCTAAGGACAGACATAAACACAGCTGTGAAACTACACACTTGGATAATCTGCAGGCAATCATCATTAGTCAAACATGTATCAGGGTCATTTGAGCTTAGTACAAAATGGGGATTGGTAACTACAAATTGTAATGAAGTCAATACCTTCAAGGAGGAGAAAAGAGAGGATTGAATTGAAGCGGTATATCTTTTTATAAAAGGAAATGTTCCAAAGTATGTTAAAAAAAATCTACTGCAATCCAGTTAAGTCCTAAAAATTGTTCTCATGTTACACACTGATCCAAAGTACAGTATAATTAAAAAACACAGTTGGACTACTTCCAGCTACCAGATACATCTGGTCTGTGGAGAACGGCAAAAACAATTGAAGACAGCATCATTTGCTGTTGATTTGAACTATAATTACTGGCACTATTCTTAGCTTAGGAAAGCTGATGACAAAGAATTATCTTAGTTGGAAGTAACACTCTTGTTTTTCCAGGAATTGTATCCTGCCCAATCATTTTAGCCTTCTTGTCTCTCTGAACTTATAATTAATAGCTTTGAACTGTGGTGACTTGCCAAAGCACATTGGCTCAGATCTACTAGTTCATGCAGTGAGTCCTTGGTTTCTGGGCATACCATCTGGGAGAGGCGAGAGATGCTGCATGGATGCTAACTGATTTGCCTGAAGAAGGGTAAAAAGCAGTCAGTGCCCTGCAAGACACTGGCATGAATTGAGTTGAGCATCACTCACAGCAGTCAGGGGAAAGGGAAAACAGAGAGATGAAGAGAAGTGCACACACACACGCACAAACACACACACTCACACAGGCAAGATGCAGCACGTACTAAAATCACGAAGCAAATACTGACTGAACCACAAACAAGAGACTCAGCCAGGAGAGGACGAGGGCAACATGTAAGAACAGAGACACGAGAGGAGATTTTCATCTTCACCTGGTCTACATCTGGTGAGGTGAATCACAGGCTCTTTACAGTAAAAATGTGTTATTATTATTGTGCATCCTGCATATTTCTGTGAACATTAAAATATACCCTATTTTGTTAGAAAAGTCAGGGACAAGAGAAAAGATTGGCAAAACAAGCCTTATCAGTCTGGTTACCAGCCACTCTCCTCTATCCAACTCTTCATAATATTTTGAATAATCCTCAATTATTTTTCCCAGTAATCTGTCTTCCAAATTATTCCAAATATTTAGCAATTTGACCACAAAACGTACATTTTATGATATCTGTTCTAGTTTATTTTGGTGTGAAAACACTTTTGTTATGTTCCTTAGTCCTACTTCTTTCCATACTCTGAAGTTAGAGTCCATGTTTATCTGACTAGTACCATTTAAATGTTTTATATTGTTATGGACCAGATCAAACCTCCTCGAAATAGATTAAGAAGACAGCTTAGACCCTAACCTTTTCTTACTTTAAAGGATTGGTGTAAGGCATTGTGTTCCAGATTCAGTTTGATTGGCCAACTACCAGGCTTGAAACAAAACACACTTTATTCATACACATAATTAAGATACAGACAAAATAAAAATAAAAGGAAAAAAATGGCTTAACTGTAACTCTAACGAAATTCTATACAAAATAATATCATATAATCTACTACTAATTAACTGATCTAATATAGTAACATCCCATAAACACACCCTTGGTAAAGGCAAATTCAGTAAAATAGATTGTTTCACATGCAATTCTAGCAGCAGAAGAGAAGCCCAGAGGAATAAGAGCATCTGCATCCAGCTTCAAGACCCCAGCTACAGTTACTGAAAGCTAAAACTACAATCTTGATTCTGTGGGAGCTTGAGCCCACCCACTCATGCTGCTTCTATTCAGCTTTAAAACAAAACCCCAAGACTTCACAAGCTGTTTACTTTATTGGCTTGAAGCAGGCTACTCAGCACAACTGTCTCAACCTTTCTTCAAAAAAAAACCAGGACAAGATACACCTCTTTAAAGCCATAGCATCGTCACAATATCCTTTGACAAGGTCCATTTATTAACTGCATTATTTATTGATTTAACATTTTCTCACCTTTTTGTTCCTTTCATATTCAAGATGAGATTCTCCATTCCTTTCCAATGCAAACATTGTTGGAGGTTGTGATAGGACTGAACACGGATTTTTAAGGTTGGACTAACTAGTAAACTGCAAAGCTCTAGTTTGCTGGACTTAACTGATCTGGCTATATATGAGGGTGTTGTGTGTTGTACATGCACAAGCTCCTCTTTAAGTCTCTCTGTATTAAGTCAGTTACATTATTTTCATGATCACATTTAATGACTTGTGGAAATGATTTGCATTTAGTGTCCATCCACATGCCTTTTCAATTGCAAAAATAATTTAAATTATTTTGTTGCATTCACTAACTCTACTGCTCTGCTTTGTATCGGCGGAATATTGGATCACCTTCCACTTGGTTTTAGGAAATAGATCATTTATGAAGATTAGAACCAATATGAATTAAAGCATTAATCCTTGTGTATCTCAACTCAGTACTTACTTGGCCCAATGTTACTACTCCCACTTTCTTTTTCTTTTTAAGCAGTTTTTAAAATTCTGGGCCCATGTTCTTACTTATATCATTCATGTCAGAGTGTTAGAGTGGGCTAGATACTGAATTGAACATCAAATTCAGACTAGACTGTGGGACAAAAAAGTTCCCCTATCTGTTGGCTGTAACAACATTTGTGAAATCAGAATGAGCTAGCTCCATTCAGCTCACACTGGACATATTTGTCTCTATTTAAATATGCAATGACAGGATGTGGGCGTCACTGGCTAGGCCAGCATTTATTGGCCATCCCTAATTGCCCAGAGGGCAGTTAGGAGTCAACCACATTACAGTGGGTCTGGAGTCACAAATAGGTGAGGATGGCAGATTTCTTTGCCTAAAGAACATTAATGAACCAGATGGGTTTTTCCTGACAATCACAGGTTTCATGGTCATCATTAGGCTATTAATTCCAGATTTTTAATTGAGTCCAAATTCCACCATGGCAGAATTCAATCCCGGGACCCTGGATCAATACCCTGGATTAATAGTCTAGTGATAATACCAATAGGCCATTGCCTCCTGTATAATACAAAATGGTCTCTAATTTGCTAAGTCATTCAAAGAAGCTTATTAATGCGGGAATTGAGGAAGAAAAAGTACACTAGTTCAGTAGATGCTCCTTGTCCACAGTACAGATAAAGGAGGAAGAGCTTTCAATGGCATCCAGTTGTCTTTCCCCATCTTGGCAGTGTTTGAGGTTAAACTGGTTGTCTAAAAAGGGAAGTGTTTAATTTTCAACCACAACTGTCTTTTATTGCAATGACACAAAGATGCTGCTAAAAGTCCCAAATTATAAATGCCCAAAATACACTTATTCCATTATTCATTTTATCTTGAAACAAGCAAGATTTGCCATGAAAAATCATGCCCATCTAAAACTATGCTTTCTTAAAAATTAAGTGATTATTTTGCATTCATCCATTATTTTACTGATGGACTAATAGTAGACCGGGTGAGTTTAAGTGTAAGCCCATTTGGCTAGCAATTACTTCAGAATAGTAGCAGCAGCAAATTACAACCATGGTTTTATTCAGGGTAATTGTTAGCCTTAAGACCCCTAATGTAACAAGTGCCCGTTACACTGACTTCACAAATTAGATCCCATTTAATATTTTAGCTACATGTAAGTAAAAAAGGAATTTATATGAGCCTAGCACATGCTTTTCTAAAATCATTGAAAATATTCATCAATGCTAGTTGCTACTTTTCAGCTCATCCTTTTTACTTTTGATTTGAGGTACAAGTACATTCTTGTGTTTTCTAAAGATGGTTGAAAAAAACACACTAGGAAACAGTTTTGAAAAAGTAGTAAAGCTATTAAGAAAAAATTACATTTTTTAGCATTTCATTTCAACACCAAAGACAACTTTTTATTTAAAAAAAAACTATCAAAGTACAAAAAAAATGTACAAATCACCATTTCATTTCACAGCTTAAATAGTTACCGCAAGGTCCAGTTTTCAGCATGAAAGCCTGAGTGAAACTCTTTTAACATAGATAATGCAAATGATTTCAAACAAAAGATGTGACATTCGAATCTTCTCTTGCATTAAAGCACATTGGCTCATGTGTGCTTCATATCAAAGGCTACAGTTACACTGCAGCTATTGGTTTCAAACTAGTTATCAAGTAACAGACCCGTCACTAAACTGTAGTTTACTGCTAGCTGTGTAATCCAACCAGATTACAGTAAGGATAGCCACAAACAGAATTTGTTGCACATACTTGGACACATGTAGAGTTCTAGTAAGAGTCAGTGAAGGCAGCTCCCATTCACAATCTCAACCTCAAGAACCTTTCTCTGCCTTGGCACCATGAAAATGCAGCTTCACATTGAGCAAGAGTTTCACTGCAGCTAACGCCAACTTCAAGGTATCAAGAAATCTTCTAGCAGAGACCTCACATCATTTGGATTTATTAGATTTGAGTGTCAGGCTGGAACTGCTTCATATCACAGAAAATGTAGAAGCATTACTGTACTCCAATATTTAGTTAAATACTGCTTTCGGTACTCCCATTTGCTGGGACGTGTAGCTGAATTATACTTTCAGACCAAAACAAAAGTACAAAGTGCTTCCCTCAGTCCATTTGTTATCTTTGCAAACACTTTCAGAACTAAATGTTTTTTGTAACTTTGGACAATAACGTCCTTGACTTGCACATCATCCATCTACAAAAAGCTACACAAGTTTTAAACACTTTATACAGTACAGTAGCATCAGAACAATGTCAGTGAATCGCAAGAACATTTCACCATGTTCCAGTCTTCTGGAGTTAAGAAACTAAGAATCTTGAAAGAGCGGGGAGCAAGAAAGTAAGAGAGAGCGTGTGAGAGAGAGAGAGCAAGACAGAGACAGAGAGAAAGGATATTTCAGTTCTTTCTCACTTATTCTAACTTCCCAGGCAATTTTCAGTGATCGTCCATCAAATTACATGTGAGCAGGCTATCTGGGTACAACCAAATCATAACAGGAATTTATTTGTAAATGTAAATCAGAAGACTGCATACTCTCCAGAATGCTCAGCATCATAACTGTAAGCATCAATCCCCGAAAAATTTCCATATTTCCTGTAAAACATCAGTCTAAATCTGGTTGGAGGATGCTCTAATCAGTTCAACTCCTCACCAACCATCTACAATTGAGCTACTGGTCCCTGTTTTATTTTGATCCCATTATTTAAATGAACAGTTAAGTTGCAGGTTGGGTGTCTGTCATTGCTGTTGTATATGCTACACTGCGTCTGGAGGAAAAAAAAAAGTCAAATTTGGATCAGCCCAAAAAACTTGGAAGATATATTTTTGGCAAGTTGTGTGCTTTTGACCATTTAGTTGCTCCTTTTAGGAGACTCCATTGATGAGCTATTCAAATCCATTTTAGCTGATTATGGAATAAGGTCCTCAGTTCATCTCTTTCTCTTCTGATGCCTGAGCATCTTCTTCCGTTTAATGATCATTTCGTGTAACCTCTCCAGACCTTGTTGCAGACCTTGCCCATTCACTGCACTGGAACTCTGGATGTGGTGCAGAGTGGATGCACCCAGCTCATTCAAACTTAGGGATTTCTCCACCTCAGCTACAGAGAGCGCCCCTGGCAAATCTTGCTTGTTGGCGAAGATTAACACAGGCACTCCTTGATTTTCCGAGCTCCTGGAAATTTTATGAAGTTCAGCCTTGGCCTCCTCCATCCTCTCCATCTCAGATGAGTCAATCACAAAGACGATGCCATCGGTACGTCTGGTGTACGACTTCCACAGAGGCCTCAGCTTCTCCTGGCCACCAACGTCCCAGACCTGGAAAGTGATGGGCCTCGAGTTCCCAACCAGCACTTTGATTTTTTCAGTGTTGAAGCCTTTTGTAGGAATGGTGTTGACAAACTCCCTTAACTTCAGTCTGTACAACAGAGTAGTCTTCCCAGCTGAATCCAAGCCAATTACCACCACATGCAGGGACTGGAAAGGAGGCAAGAAGGTTCCACTAGGTGTCAGTTCCGACAGCTGATTCCCCATTGTCAACCAAATATCTTCAGCTCCCCTTTAAATAAAAGTACGTGTAGTCTCAATGGTCAATATCCTTGTTTTGTAGATCTGGAGGGTGTCGCCTCGTGGCACCTTCTTCAAAGCCAGTCTGAGTTCATTGGGCACGGTTTACTTTGGGCTAATTTAAAAAAAAGTTAACATCTGGTTAGTTTAAATGCTGCCTTTTCCAAATGAAAAACTCACTATTCCTGATAACTCATTCTGTAGTTATAAGAAAGAATGAATTTTAAGATTTTGCATGGAAACTTCCCTGATTCTTTAAGAATGCAATTTTCAACATAACCTGTCCATACAACGGCCATTATTTTTGTGTTAACACGGCAACAAGACTGTGGTTGTGTGCACCTTACCAGTTTGGTAAATAAGAACGCAGGTCTCTATAATGAAAAAAAAGCGAATCAACACATTGACCAACATTTAAAAGATCAGAACAAACGAGATTCCTCAACTGGCTGCTCCGAGAGGCTGCAGCATTCTCTCTCTCCTCCCCCCTCCTCCTCCTCTCTCTTTCCCTCCCTCTTTCTCTGAGTCACTCACCATCGAGCCGGATTTATTTAGATTCCTGGCATTTTAAACGTCAAAAACTCCTTCAATCCCTGCTTATTTACTAATCACGCGCTTCCTGATTATGCTCAGCAAGAATCCATTAGGGTCAGTGTAAACCAAACACGGAATTAACACATCAGTCTCCAATGCTGTACCCTGGACCGAGGCTTTGAAGGTTTCTTCCAGGTCCTAGTTTTAAACTGCATTCCAGCCAGCAATACACCAGCACCATCAATTCATGTGTTTTTTTTTTGAAGGGATTTAATGTGGACGGTGTATTATTTATACAACTTTTTCTTCCATCTAAGGAGATTAAAGCAAATGTCTATTCCCAAATATTATCACTGGGAGGGAGAGCTCAAACAGCAACAAATTGCATATGAATAAAAGTCATTTTAACTACATTTTTCCAGACTATGTATATATTTTTTCAATTATCAAAAGTGTCTAATTCGCAACAACACAGGGCTTTGCTGGCAAGCTCTCTAACCGGCCAGCTTGGGGTTGATCAAGGCTAGTGCAAAATAGGTTTTGATTTTAATGTGAGTACATAAACCCATGTTTAATATGTGAAGACACCCCAGAGACCCGAGTCCGCTTTCTAAAAAAAAAATCAACTGGGAAATGCAACATGAGACCGACTGCCAATAACAAAGAGCAACAAACTTCATTACCCTGCATTCTCAAATTACTGCAGTTCTCACAGAGCTCCCACATTTACCAAAATGCATATTATTGCACAAGTCGCCAACTACTGACAGGTATACTATTCCGATAAAAATAACTATAGCACTCTGGGACTGAGCAGAAATTAAATATTGTGAAAAAAAATAAATTGAAGTCAATCGACAAGTCTGATCATCCACGTAGTGAGAGGGAGACCGGTTTTTAAGCATTAAAGCATTACCTTTGTCCTGTTGGAGAGCAGCTATTGTAGTGGTGCTGGTAAAGATTCAGTAGAGAATGCTAAACGCAGCAGTTTGTTAGGCACTTTCTAGACGATCCATAAGAACTGACAGATTAGAGAACCACCCCTTAGCTCGGGATTTCTCAGAGTAACTCGCTCACACAGTGGCAACTGCAACACTTTGACGTCGACTTAACCGGGAACAACACCCTCAAAAGACACTTCTCAAAGTGGCCCCATCACTCTTGACGTCAGTGTCCCTCCCGGCCGCTGATGTGAACTCTTCTTTCCTTAAAATAAAACCCTGACAGTTTCATGCAGGCACTGCCCCGGCAAAATAGACATCTCCCGGTGATAAGGTGCTATGAAAATGAGAGAGTATCGCGATAAGTCGTCCAAAACGTTAATAAGGAATTATACTTGTGTTAATCTGTTCACTGCAAGACCTTATCTGCGTATGCGCCCAATTTTTATTTGGCTGCAACAGTTCTAACCGATCGAAGTGGTTGGCGAAATTGCAACGATGTACAGTTGTGCACAGATCCTGATCTCCTGAGCCTGCTTCCCCTCAGAGGGAAATCAGGCTATTGCCATTGGGATTACTGGGTTCTGTAAAAGCAGATTGTCCCAGTAATTGAAAACAACAAACAAAGGACTACGGTTGCTGGAAATCTGAAACACAAACAGAAATTGTTGGAGAAACTCAGCAGGTGACCCTGCCACTGGGCCCTGAACATTGACTCTGCTTTCTCTCTCTTCACAGATCGTGCCTGACTTGCTGACTTTCCCCAGCAACTTCTGTTTCTGTCCGAGTAACTGTTGAACCTAGATTGGACAGGGATATAATGGCCTGCAGCAGTTCAAGAATGCAGCTCATCAGCAATTTCTCAAAGGAAACTAGGTACCGGCAACAAATGCTGGCCCAGCCACCATCAGTTCTGAGGAAGAGTCACCGGACCCGAAACATTAACTCTGTTTTCTCCTTCACAGATGCTGCCAGACCTGCTGAGCTTTTCCAGCAACTTCCCATGAGTGAATTTTTTTTTAGAAACATTAATCCTTACAGTACCAGAATCTCCATGGAATTCTTTGCCTCAAGGCTTTTTTTATTCTTAAGTATTTCAGTCCATGTCTTGTGAGGTTGAAGAGTCGCCCAATCTGACAGCCAGGGTGTAATTTTTGCAGCATTGATCATACCTTTCTGAAATGTCATAAAATGCTTCAATCTCATTCCAACTCTGTGCCCATCTATTATAGTCATACAGCACAGAAACAGACCCTTTGGTTCAACTAGTCCATGCCGAACATAATCCCAAATTAAACGAATCCCACTTGCCTGCTCCTGGCACATATCCCTCCAAGCCCTTCCTATTCATACACTTATCCAAATGTCTTTTAAACATTGTAATTGTGCCCGCATCCACCATTTCCTCAGGAAGTTCATTCTACACACAAACCACCCTCTGTGTAAAAATTTTGCCCCTCATCATTTTTAAAATTCTCTCCTCTCACCTTAAAAATACGCCCCCGATCTTGAAATCCCCCATCCAAGAGAAAAGACAATGATCATTAACTCTATCCATACCCTTCATTATTTTATAAACACAACCTATTTGAACTGTGCAATCAGATTACATCCCCTGTCACAGACTGGAATTAAGAGACATTTGATGTGACAGTGACACACCAACGATCCTCATTTTTGTGCACCTTCTTGCAGTCCCTGTCATGGTTACCAGTGTCATCCTCAAACAATCAGTTGATGGAGGCTGCTTACATCTGGTTACATATTGACAATAACTACAAATATTTATATTTATTTAGCATTTTAACTGGGTAAAACACAACACAGAAATGTTAAGGACCTACATTTGATACCAAGTCATATAAGGACACATTAGAATGGGGGGAGGGGGGCAATTGCTTGGCAGGTTTTAAGGAGGAAAGAGATGGATTAGGGATGGAATTCCAGAGTCAACAGTCTAAGGCAGCTGAAGGCACAGCCACTGATTGTGGTGTAATTAAAACTGTAGATTCACAAGAAAATAAATTTGGAAGACCGCACTTTGGAGTATTGTAGGGCAGGGGGAGATTACAGAAATAGAAAGACATAATGCCATGGACAGGGTTCGAATACAAGGAAGGTGAATTTTAAAATTCCCTATTCAATCAGCGCCAATAAAAACTCAGCAATAGTTTCTCTTCCTAAACCAAACTGTTATGTCTGGAGTTCTCAACCTTGGCCCTTCCCGCTTCACATTTACATACTTTTCTGGGAGTTTTCATCCAAAGAAGAGTTCAGGATTTACCTGAATGCTGACATAGAATTCTGCTTCACCTCTACTCCCTCTGACACTTCAATGTCATAGGTCTACTTGCCTGATGCCCTGTACTCAATGAGCTACACTTCCTCAAAGAAAACTGGTAAAACCGAAGACATTGAGTTTGGTCCTTGCTCCAATTTCATGCCCCTCATTGTCAACAATTTCGGGCTGAAGTAGATTGTTTGTTAGTAAACTCAGCATCCCATCTGGAGCTGAGCTGTCCCAAGTTTCCATCCTCTTTACCATCAAGATTGCATACCTCTGATGTTTTGCTTGTCCTTACCTGACCTCAATCCATCTTATGCTGAAACTCACATTCACTTTTGTTATTTCTAGACTTGACTCTTTCAATACTCTTCTATCTGTTTTACCAATAACCATCTTCCACAATCTTGAGCTCAGCCAACACACTGCAGCCCATATCCTAACTTGCTGCAAATTTATCACCCCTGTACATACTATCTGCATGGGCACCAGCTCTACCAGTGATTTTAAAATTCTCATGGTTATGTTCAGCTCCCCCCCATGACCTCACCCTTCCCCATCCTCCTTCAGCGCTCCAAAAATTCTACGTTCGTCCTACTTCTGAATGTGTATGTTGCACATTCCCTACACTCTACATTATTGGCAACACTGACCACTAGACTTTGAAATTCGAGATAGTAGGAACTGCAGATGCTGGAGAATCCGAGACAACAAGGTGCAGGGCTGGATGAACACAGCAGGCCAAGCAGCATCATAGGAGCAGACTTTGAAATTCCCTGACTATAAGTTTGCATCTCTTCACCGCCCTCTCCTTGGACACCTTAAAACCTGCATAACTGACGAAGCTCTAATCCTTAAATCTCCTTTTTTGACTCATTTTCTGACTTTTGCCTTTTATATCCCCACTTTTAACTGCATTGAAGGTGCTATATAAATACAGGCTGTTGTTGAATTTCTTCACTCACATTGTTTGTTAGGTAGACAAACATACCATTTATTTTGTACACAGCAACATCCAAAACAAAAACAATGAGATTACTGGCTAGTTAGACTATGTTAGGTGGTATTGATTGATGTAGGAGTGTTTTTCAGACTGATTGAGGGTTGCGTGTTTTTCAGGAATGACTGAGTGGAATGTTGGTCAGTACTGATTGAGTATGGAATTATTGGTCAGGTCTGATTGAGTGTGGAATGTTGGGCAGCACAGATTGAGGGTTGAACATTCACCTCTGATTGAGGGTGGAATGTTGGTCATGACTGATTGAATGTGGAATTGCTGGTCAGGTCTGATTGAGTGTGGAATGTTGGGCAGCACAGATTGAGGGTTGAATATTGTTCAGAACTGATTGAAGGTGGAATTTCGAAAAGGACACAAAGGGAAATCTTTGCTGTCTTCATATAGTCCTCTAGTTGCTAAACTGTTATCTTATTTCATGTTTTCCATTCTTTCAATATTTTCTAACTCAAGTTTGATATTATTTACTATCTGTCTTTTAATATTTTTGCTTATGAACAGTAAAATGTCATTATTACTTGTCTTCACCTGTCCGTTTTAGAGTGGGCAACCAGACCAGTAACATTGTAATTACTTTGATGCAAAATACCATAAAATCCATACCCACCAATTAACAAAGAGGCAGATATTTTGCCTGGTCAATTTGGCACAGCAATAGCTATAAATCTGATGTAGTTTTAGCCTAATATTGAGTACTCATTTTGCCAATGGAAACCACCCCCACCCACACC